AGGCGAGGAAATGGATTTTCCCCTGGAGCCTCCAGAAGGAGCACGGCCCCACTGAGCTCTTGACTGAAGCCTGTGGGACCCACTTGGGACCTCTGACCTCCAGAATTTTAGGATAATAAGCTCCTGGTGTTTAATGTCACTAAGTTTGGGGTAATTTGTTGTAGCAGCAATCAGAAACTAATATATTCCTTCTCTGCAAGTTGTCACATACCATACTTTATATTTTGTCCCATTATCTGTTTACCTCTGTCTGCATCAATGTGATACTTGTTCTAGAAATTAGAACATTATGGTAAGTCTAAAAACTAAGAAAGGTGAAGCCTCCCTCCTTCTTCAAAATTGCCTTGGCTCTTCTTGACTACATATTTTTTAATTAAAAAATAAACAACCCCAGCATTTTAGAAGGCCAAGGCAGGAGGACTGCCTGAGGCCAGGAGTTCAAGACCAGCCTACAACATAGTAAGACCTCATTTCTAAAAAAAAAAAAAAAAAACACTTAGCCGGGAATGGTGGCGCTGCCTGTAGTCCCAGCTACTCAGGAAGCTGGGGCAGGTGGGTGGCTTGAGCTCAGGAGTTCAAGGCTACAGTGAGCTGTGATCATGTCAGGCACTCCAGCCAGAGCAAAGAAATGAGAATTTATCTCTAAAAACAAAACAAAACAAAACAGAAACCCTGGAATACACATTGTAAAAGAAAATAAATGCAGTACATGGGAGCAATACACACCAGGCAGAGAGCATGAGCCAAGACTCAAAAGTGCAGAAAACACACAGCGTGGTGAGTGAATCCCAGGTAGCACACGCAGCTAGAAAACGCTTCCAAACCACCAGATGATCAGCCCGGAGGGCGGATGATTTCAGCAGCTGAGAAACCATTAACAGCAGTCCAGGACTTCTACCTCTGGCCAAGAAGAGTCACAGTGATCAGACTGACCCTCTCATCTACAACACATTTTCTTTTCAACACAAAATATGTAAAACAGTGGTTTTCAACACAGCGGACTCCAGGCAACAAAGGAGAGTGATCCTGAGGGATGGAAACAGAAAAGGGGAGGCCTCCCTGCCTCCAGCTTACTGTGTTCAGTGAGTTTGCACAGACAGGATGAGCGGCACAGAGAGAGAATACCGGCCGTTTACAGAGGGCCCCACCCTCGCATTCAGTAGAGTGCAGATCAGGAAACTTGTAAGGCGGAAAGAGAAAGAACCACCAGAAAGGATTACAGGGAACAGGGCCTGGGGTTCACAGGGCAGGCAGTCACAGTGCCATTCCCTCCAGCCACCTGGTAATCCTCAATCTTCATGGGACGCCGGGCAGAGCCCTCAGACGGCACCTGTCATCTCAGTGGGGAATAATCAGCCCTAGAAGAAATGCTGATCTGATCCCTAACTAATCTTAAGAGCAAGACCCAAAAGGATCTAACAATTTTCAAAACTTAAGGCTATTTATCAGACACAAAAATATTCAGTATCCAATAAGAGAAAATTCTCACTATCTGGAGTCCGTTAAAAGTTATCAGACATCCAAAGAGGCAGGAAAATACAACCCCAATCAGGACAATAATCTATCAATCAAAACTGATCCTGAACCAACAAAGATATTAGAATTAGCAAACCAGGATATTAAAGTAGCTATAACTGTATTTCCTAAGTTCAAAAAGCCAGAGGAAACACTGAGCATGTTAAGTCAAGACACATAAAACAAGCCCAAACACAACTTCCTGAGATGAAAACGAGAATACCTGAGATGAAAATATACTGAATGAGATAAATGGCAGATCAGACACTCAACAAGCAAAGAGCTTGAAGCGAAGTTGAGGGTACGGCAATAGGAACTATCTAAAATGAAACACACAGAGAAGAAAGGTTATAAATAAAAGTGAACAGAGTATCAGTGACCTGTGAGACAACTTCTCGCAGCCGGATAAACATGTAATTGGGGCCTCTGAATCAGAGGATGAGAGGAAGACAGAAGAAATATGTGAAGAAATAATGACCAAAATGTTTCCAAATGTGATGAAAACTATAAATCTAGAGATCTAACAGGCTCAAGGAACCGCAGGCAAAAAAATCAGTTAAAGAACACTTCTGGGAAAGTAGAGGCAGTGGCGGGCTGGTTTTAAAATCTCCCCCAAACACCTCATGAAAACAGGGCAACCAGGAACGTAAAGCCCGCACAGCGTCCACGACTGAGCCAGCCCAAAAGCCAGACACCAGGATCAGCCCATCAGAGTTTACAACTCACTTGATTAGAAGATCTTCAAACAAAACTAGCTGCCCATTTCCAGTACGAGAACTACATCTTTACTTACTTACTTATTTTGAGACAAAGTCTCACTCTTTTGCCCAGGGTGGGGTACAGCGGCTCACTGCAGCCTCAAACTCCCAGGCTAGCGGCACAATCACGGCTCACCGCAGCCTCAAACTCCCAGGCTCAAGCAGTCATCTCGCCTCAGCCTCCCAAGTAGCGGGACCTAAAGGCGCACACCACCGCGCACAGCTCATTTGTTTTATTTTTAGTAGAGATGGGGTCTTGCTATGTTGCCCAGGCTGCTCTTAAACTCCTGAACTCAAGTGATCCTCTCGCCTCAGCCTTCTAAAGTGCTAGGATTACAGGCGTGAGCCACCATGCCTGGCCTATATCAAATTTAAACACAAGAAAATTTCTTTCCAGTCAAGGTAGTCATATTTTTTCCCCTGAAAGCTAGCTAGCTATATACGTTCATTCTCTGTTCAGCCATTTCTACAGCAATGGGCAAATTATGTAGACTATGTATTACTATTATACTTTTAAGTAACTTAATCAAAAATCAGAGTACAGAGCAGATCCATGAATTCACCCAACTTTGGACTGAAAATACTTTTTTAAAAATGGATGGTTGTGTCTGCACCGAACATGTACAGACTCTTTTTTCTTGTCATTATTCCCTAAACAGTACAACAATTTACATAGCATTTGCACTGTATTAGGTATTGTAAGTCATCTAAAGATGATTTAAAGTACATGGGAGGATGTGCGTAGGTTACATGCAAATACCACACCAGTTTATATAAGGGACTTGAGCATCTGAAGCCAGTCCCCCACGGATACCGAGGGATAGCTCTAATCATGTTTATATTTAATTAAAAAATATACCCAATTCATAATCTAAGGTCCTCTTTTCTTTGTAATTTTGTTTCTTAGAGGTTGATATGTATTTTATTTTTAAGATTAACTCTATGTCAAAGAGTGTACATCAAACAAGGAAAGATACGAGATGTAAGCAGGCAATGGGTTGCTTTAAATGACCCTTTATTATGACCCTTTGCTTAGTATATCAAAATTATGTGTCCTATGCCTTGAATGCATTCAGTTTCATCAAATAAAACTGGAAATGTATTCTAATCCGACTGACAGAAAATGCATGCATGCCTACCAGCCACCACCACAAGGAATGCTAGTACTAGGGGTGCTGTACATTTCAGTGCCGTTCGTATAAGATGGGATTATTAATATACACACTGGTGGTAGACAGAAATCCTGAGAACAAGCTGGTAGGCACAAAATTCAAACACTGAAAACACAAAACAATTAATACCATCAAATGCACCACCTCTATGAAAAGAAGGAAAATACTGAATGACGTAGTTTGTCCCAAAGAAATCAACTCTTAAGTTTTGATACCAGAATATTCTTAGACCGCTCAGGAAATCCTGACAGACGGTGTTGACTATGTATTACTATTGTACTTCTAAGTAACTTCATCAAAAATCAGAGTACAGAGTAGACCCTTGGGTTCTGTCTCCATGAATTCAACAAGCCTTGGGCTGAAAATATTTTTTTTTTAATGGATGGTTGTGGCTGCACTAAACATATACAGACTCTTTTTTTCTTGTTATTCCCTAAACCGTACAGCAATTTACATAGCATTTGCACGGTATCAGATATCTCAGAAAAGCATCAACTTCATCAAATTCATCAACTTAGAAATGCACGTGCTGCTTCCAGCAATTGTAAAATCAAATTCAACAAGCCCAGTTCCCATAAATCAGAATCTCAATGCACAGAGAAAACCTCTCCCGAGTGACAGAAGCGCCAGCAGCTTTGCACCAGAAGTCGGGGCCACCGCTGAGCACAGAAGCAAGTGCTCCCTGAACACCTGGGCATCACCAGCTGGAGGCTGGAGGAACACAAAGCTCCCTCCACAAGCTTGTACACTTGTTCACTCCCTATCTTGCCATCTGGAACAAGCAGAGTCATCACCTGTGACTAGGAATCCGAGAACTTTAACTCTAAGCCAGAGCTCCAGGTGCCTAGAGCCAAGGCCCCACACCCATTTAGGTGGACTACTCCAGCCCTCCCTGATTCCTTCCGCCCCTCACTTCACTATAGGTGGAATTCTCAACCAGAACATGCTGCAGTCCAAGGGCTCTGAGCACAGCGTACTGCCTCAGCAGAAGCAGCTGGGCTGAGAGCCAGCAAGAACTCTTTACCCACCTACCCATGTGGACTTGCTGCCACCCACAGGGCAGGGGCTCTGCCTCTGCTGGCAGCCCTTGCTGCTTGCAGCCAATTGCGACCCCCTTTCTTAAAGCCACAGACTCAGGTCACAGACTCCTAACTTTCGGGAATTGCTTCAAGGTGAACAGACAGATGGCTACTTGAACAGCGCAAACTCAAAGTGGCCATCCTTGGCTCTTGACCACCCTCTAATTCTCGGGTCCCACATTTGCAGGGCACCCATGTGACATGTACTTTTAAGTGCTTAGTTGGGGAGCTGTCAAGTAACTAAGCTGACACCAGGCTGAAGCAGGTGACAAGCTTCTGGACCACAATTCATCACTGTCCAATTCTACACCTTTGTGTTAAGCAAAAGCCCAAAAAACAGATTCGATTAAAGCAATCTATGGCAATGATCTTACAAATGTGATGATTACCATACTGAACTAAGCATCTTTCCCTGGTAACAGATGGAAGTGCTGCCTGCCGTGTGCCTGGGGAGTCAGTTCTCTGGAAACACTTACTGGAAGGGCACATGGGTGGTTTCCCGGCAAGTCGCCGCTCCGCCTTGGGGCCGCTGACAGGCTCCACGGGTGCGTCCAGGTGTTCTTCTGAGCCCAGCGAGAACTGGAACCGGATTGTACCCGACTCCACCTGCTTCACCTGCAATGGAGCACAACAGCAGTGATGGCCACGCCCTTCATCGGCACTCCGGTCACAACAATCCAACCAGGAACAGCACACTCGGTCCTAAAACAAAGCCTACGTGAAAGCAGAGGCCACTGAAGAAGCCACATGTTCTTAGATTATACTCAAGTAGTTTCTGAGCAAAAAGCAACTGACTGTGGCACTAAAAGCCCTGCAGGCCATATTATCATGGAATGACCCTTACCCAAGTAGAAATCACAGTCTCTCCTGAGTTGGGAATGTTTTCATTAACCTATGTGAGACTGACATCTTTATTCTGGGTTATGGCTCTATGGGTTTTGGCACGTGCACAGACTCACATAACCAGCACCACACTCAGGGTGCAAGCCAGCCCCATCTCCCCGCCGAGTGCTCCTTTGCACTGCCCCTCTGCAGCCACGGCTCACCCCTGCCTAACCCTAGTGATCTATGACTGCTTCCCAGCACTGTCATTTGAACCTCATTCCAACTGATGAGATTCATCCCAGTTGTGGCAAATACATCAAACTTTTTTTATTACTGAGTGGTATTCTATTGTACGGAGGTATCACGGTTATTTATCCATTCAGTCACTCATGAACATTTAAGTTGTTTCTGGTTTGGGCGATTATAAATGGAGCTTGCTACAAACACATGTGTCCAGATTTTTGTGTGAACACAGGTTTCATTTCTCCAAGGGCAGGACTGCTGGGTCATATGGTCTATTTAATTTAATAAGGCACTTCCAAACTTTATTTCTGGACTCTCTTTCTGTTCCATTAATCTACGTGCCAATTCCTTGATACTAATTATATTAGTGTGGGGTATAGTAAGTGTTTAAACTGTGTATTATGACTCCTCCAACTTTACTGTTCTTTTTCAAAACTATTTTGACTCTTTTAATTCCTTTAACTTTCCATGTAAATTTCAAAATCTGCTTGCCTATACTCCTGCTGGGATTTTGATTGAAACTGCATAAAATCTATAGATCAATCTTGGGCAGAACTGACAGCTTTACTATGTTGAGTTTTCCAAGACATATACATGTTATGTCTCTCCAATTAGTTAGGTCTTCCTTGATTTCACCCAACAATAACCACAATGACAGCTAGCAAAACGACAGTTTTATCGCTGGCAGCATACGGATCCCATACCTATTTTGTCAGATTTATTTCATGGAGGGCAGGGCTTTATAAGTAATACTGTTTCTGTATTTTGCTTTCAATTTATCAGTGCTAGTATAGAGAAATAGGACTGATTTTTCATGTTGACTTCCTGTGTCATCTTGCAGTCTCACTAAACTCACTCATTTTTTGCAGATTCCTCAGAATCTTTGACATACACAATCATGTTTTCTGCAAAAAAGGACGGTTTTGTTTCTTCCTTCCAGTGTGTATGTCTTTTGTTTTCTTGACTTACAGCACTGACTATACCTTCCAAAGCACTGCTGACCATGAGGCTGAATGCGAAGAGGGGACATCCTTCACTTGTTCCTAATCTTAGGGGAAAGCAATCAATCTTCAGCATTAAGTATGATGTTAACTAAAGAGTTTTTGTAGATACCACGGATCATGCTGACGAAATTTTCTTTTATTGCTAGTTTGCTCAGAGTTTTTATCATGAACTGATGCTGAGTATTGTCAAATGCTTTTTCAACATCAATTGCCAGGATCATATGGTTTCCTTCTTTAGGCTGTTACTATAGTGAATTACATCTATTGATTTCCAAATCGAAAACAAATTTGCATTCTTGGGATAAAGCTCCACTTGGTTAGTGTATATTATTCTTTTTTGCAAATCACGGGACTCAATTTGCCAATATTTTGTCAAGTAGTTTGCACCTATGTTTATGAGGGATATGGGTCCGCATTTCTGTTTTCTTGTGGCTATTAATATCTTTTTCTGGTTTTGGTATCAGGGTAATGCTGGCTTCATTTCATGAGTTGGGAATTGCTCCCATCTGCTTTCTGAAATAGATGGTATAAAAGTGGTATAATTTCTGCTTTAAATGTTTAGTAGAATTCATAGTTAACAGGCCTAAATATTTCTTTTTCAAAAGTTTTTAAACTATGAATTCCATTTATACAAAGTTATAGGACTACTCAGTTTATCTACTTCATCTTGGCTGAGTTTTGGCAGCATGGGGTTTAATATTCATTCATCCATTTCGCCTAAATTGTCAAATTTATGTGCAGAGAATTGTCTGTAGTAGTTCCTCCTTATCCTTTTAATACCTGTGAGGTCTGGACTGATATTTCCTCTTTCATTCTTAATATTAGTCATCTCCATCCTCCTTTCTTTTTCAGTCTGGCTAGAAGTTCATCAATTTACTGATATTTTCAAACAGGTTTTAGTTTCATTGGGTTTTTGCTATTTTTTAATTTTTAATCTATTATTTTTGTTTGCAGTTCCATTGGTGTCTGCTATTACTGACTTTCCAATTGCTCTGGGTTTATTTTACTCTTCTTTTTCTAGTTGCTAAAAGTAAAGATTAGATCGCTGAATTAAGATCTTTTTTTCTGTTCTAATATAAGCATCTAACGCTAAGCATATTTGAGTTGCAACCTACAAATTTTGATATGTTGTATTTCCATGTTTGTTAAGTTCAAAATATCTTCTATTTTCCCTTGAGGCTTACTCTTTAATTCGTGGATTGCTTACATATTGTTTAATTTCCAAGTGGTTGAAAATGTTTATTATATTTGTTATTGATTTCTAGTTCAATTCCATTATAATCTGAGAATACATCTTGTATAATCTCAATTCTCTTAAAATTAAAGTCTGTTTTATGGCCAAGGATATTGTCTATCTTGATGAATCTTCCATGTGCACTTGTAAAGAACGTGTATTCTGCTGTTGTTGGGTAGAGTGTTCTACAAATATCATTCCGATCCAGTCAGTCAATGATGATGTTCAGTCCTATACCACTGGTGATTATCTAGCTAGTTGCTCTTCATTTACTTAGAGAGGATGTTGAAGTCTCCAACTATAATTGTGGATTTGTCCATTTCTCCTTTCAGTTCAACCGGTTTTTGCTTCATGTCTTTTGAAGCTCCGTTAGATGCAAACAATTTTAGGATTGTTATGTCTTGGTGACTGACCCTTTTACCATGTGTATTATCTCTCTTAATTCCTGGAAATTTCCTTTATTCTGAAATCTAGTTGGTCTGATGGTGTCTGATAATAATATAGCCACTCCAGTTCTCTTTTAATTAGTGTTTGAACAGAATATTTTCCATTCTTTTAATTTACATTGTATTTAAAGTATATTTCTTCTAGATAGTATATAGTTGGACTTTGTTTTTCATTAAGCCTGACAGTATCTTTTACATTGGTGATGTCTACACTATTTATCCTTAATGTAATTACAAGAATACCTCAAAGATACTGCAGGTTCAGTTCCAAACCACTGCAATGAAGCAAGTCACTTGAATTTTTTTGGTTTCCCAGTACATTTAACAGTTATGTTTACACTATAGTGTAGTCAAAGTGTGTAATAGCATTACGTCTAAAAAAAAAAAAAAAAGGGACTGTACTTATCTTAATTTAAAAATACTTTATTGCTGGCCAGGCACAGTGACTCACATCTGTAATCCCAGCTCTTTAAGAGGCAGGTGGATCACTTGAGGTCAGGAGTTCAAGACCAGCCCAGCCAACATGGTAAAACCCCATTCTCTACTAAAAGTACAAAACTTAGCTAGGTGTGGTGGCGAGCACTTGTAATCCCACCTACTTGGGAGGCTGAGGCAGAAAAATCACTTGAACCTGGGAGATGGAGCTGCAGTGAGCCAAGATTGCACCACTGCACTCTCACCTGGGTTATAGAGCAGAACTTCATTTAAAAAAAAAAAAAAACTTTTTTGCCAAAAAATACTAACCATTGTTAGTACTTTTTATACATTTATGCACCCGGCCAGCAATAACTGTGCCATTATAGGTATGGTGACTCAACTCAAGCCTATAATCCCAACACTCTAGGAGGCCAGGCGGGGAGGATCCCTTGAACCCAGGAGCTCAAGATCATCCTGGGCAACATAGCAAAGACCTCAACTCTACAAAAATCAAAATTTAGCCAGGCATAGTGACACACGCCTGTAGTCCTAGCTACTTAGGATGCTGAGGTGTGAGGATGGCTTGAGCCCAGGAGTTCAAGGCTCTAGTGAGCTATGATCGTGCCACTGTACTCCACCCTAGAGCAACAGAGTGAGACCTTGTCTTAAAAAAAAAAAAAAAAAAGCAAAGCTAAGGATCATCTGAGCCTTCTAGGACATTGTAATGTTTTTGCTGGTGGAGGGTTGTGCCTTGATATTGATGGCTGCTGCCTCATCAGAGTAGCGGTTGCTGAAGGGTTGGGGTGGCTGCAGCACTTTCATAAAACAAGACAACAATGCAAGTTTGCTCTATCAAGTAACTCTTCCTGTCACAAAGGAGTTCCCTGTATCATGCGATGCTGTTTGACAGCATTTTACCATAGACAGAACTTTCAAAATTATAGTCAATCTTCTCAAACCTTGCCATTGCTTTATCAACTAAGCTTAGGTAATTTTCTAAATATTATGCCTTTATACCTTTAAAATTTCACCAGATATTGTTTTTTGTTTTGTTTTCGAGAAAGAGTCTTGCTCTGCTGCCCAGGCTGGAGTACAGTGGCACAATCCTGGCTCAATGCAACCTCCACCTCCTGGGTTCAAGTGATTCTCCTGCCTCAGCCTCCCAAGTAGCTAGGATTACAGGCATGCAGCCACCACACCCAGGTAATTTTAGCATTTTAATAGAGATGGGATTTCACCATGTTGGCCAGGCTGGTCTTGAAATCTTGACCTCAGGTGATCCACCCTCCTCAGCCTCCCAAAGTGCTGGGATTACAAGCCCACTGCACCCAGCCACGCTGTTACAGTTTTTGCTTCAACCATCCAATATATTTTAAAAAAGAAGAGGAGAGTATCATATTTACCATTTCTGTTGTTCTTTCCTCATTCTTGATGTTCCAAATTTCGATCTGGTAACACTTCCTCTCTGTCTGAAGAAATTCTTTTAGCAATTCTTTAAGCAAATTATCTGCTCTTACTTTTAGTTCATCTGAGATGTCCTCATTTCACACTTTTTTTTTAGACTGGATGCAGAATTCTGAGTTCCAAGGTCTTTCTGTTAGCACTTTAAAAATCTCCCACTTTCCTTCTGGTCAGCTGGTTTCTGATAAGGTATCCAGTCATTCAAATTATTATTTCTCTGTAAGTAATGCGTCATTTTTCTATAGCTCTTTTTAATAATTTTATTCTTTGTCTTTAGTTTTCAGCAGTTTGTGTATGATTTATCTGAGTGTGGATTTCCTCACATTTATCCCCGGGGTTCACTGACCTTGGATCTGCAGGTTTACGTCTTTTGCCAAATTGGGGAAGTTTTCAGTCATTATTTTTTAAGTACTTTTTTCTGCACCATAGTCTCCTCTACCAGGACTGGGTGCTAGTCTTTTTGGTAGGGACCTACAGGTCAACACTGAGGCTTTGCCCCTTGTCTTCCAATCATTTTCCTCTCTGTTGCGCAGGGTGAATAAATTTCTGTTGGTTTATCTTCAAGTTCACTGACTCTTCTGTCACCTCCAGTCTGCTGTTAGGCCATCTAGTGATTTTTTATTTTAGTTATTTTATTTTTCAGTTCTAAAATTTTCATTTACTTCTTCCCATTTATTTCCAGGATGTTTGTTCTTATTTACTAGCGCATCTTTATTACGACTGCTTTAAATTCTCTGATAATTCTAACATTTGTATCATCTCAGTGTTGGTGTCTGTTAACTGTTTCTCCACAAGCTGAACTTTGCAGGTTCTTTGTATGACAATTAACTTTAGAGTGTATCATAGACACTTTGAACATTACATTATAAAACTCTGAGTCTCACTTAAATCCTATGAAGAATGCTGGTATTTTTATTTAGGTAGGAATTGACTCAATTGCGTTCAGGACAGTTTCTGATCAATATCCTGTGGGCTGTGGTTTCGATGTCAGTTTCATTTTCAAAACCTGTGCAGGGTTCTTCAGATTTCTCCTGCATGTGCTCCATCCAGCAGGCAGCTCTGAAACTGGGAAGTTGTCAATCCCACAGTGTCAAAGTCTTTGGTATCTGTTTAGGGTCAGACCTACACACGGGCAGTTTTGGGGTGAACCTGGGGTTTTGTAAACAACCTTACAGGACCACCTCCCCAGCTCCTCCCTCAGTGATCTCTCTAGTTTTTGCAAGTAAACCCCCCCTTCACTCTCCAACCAGCTCTACTGTGCTGTTTGCCCCCCGCAACTGTGCCTGAATCCAAGGCCAAGCAGTAAGAACACAGGGTGCTTTAAAGATGGGCAGGAAATGTACAAAAGAGCTAAAATTCTCATCTGTCATTATAAGAATTCAGTATATAATGTCTGAAATTGTAAATTAAGAAACAGCAGTAAAAGGCTATTATTTAGAAAACAAAGGTAAAGACCATAAGTCACAGTTAAGAGTTGAAAGTGGCTGTCTTTGGAGATATCAATTTCTAAAA